ATTAATTCAATAAATATTTATGTGTGTACTAGTTTGTTTACAAATATTCCTGGGAGAATATTTTGACTCATTTTTTCCAGAATTTGTGAAGAATTACCTATTTGGAGAGATCACTGGTTTTCATACTAAATTATAGGCATTACCCTCAGATCTATATTAGCTGACTATAATCTACAAGTTAAAAATACAGTAAAAAGATAATCTTCAGCTATCATTTTGGGATCCACACTATCATGACTTTTACAACTTTTAGTTGTTACTTTTGTGACTTCTCTAAAAATGAACAGAACACTTTCATTTTTTAAATAAAAACCTAACAACTCTAAAGCTTTGGAAAAATTCTAGGTTATGAAAGACATGAAATGTCATGGTGATGTTACTGAAAACTGTGAGTAAGAGTCTCAAGTTTTTATGTTCTCAACAAGAGACTTTCTAGGTATCTTCCTGCACAGAGCATATGACTGAAAAATTTTCATGACATTCTATATTAAAAAATATTCAGAATAATAGATATGAGAAAGGAGCTTTGCAATTGAATGTTTATAAAGAAAATTGAACTTGTCAGCTATACATCACTCTTCTTTTCTTTCTCTTTTTTCCCTATGATATGTGAGATAACTTTTTTCTAGCATTCAGGAGTCCTGATCATTCTTAAACTGCAATTAGTTCACTGAGAATATCTGTCACATCATTATCCTACACATAAACATTACTAAATGTCCAAGTATGAATCAAAGTAACAAGTGATACGCAATCTGTTTTACACCAATCAAAATAGTCTGTGACATATAGTCTAAGCTAGATATACATATTATATTACTTTAGTGTTTTTTAAACAAGAAAGATGTGCTTTCTTCTGATGCAAAGAAACAAAACTCAACTCTGATTCATGGCTATTCAAGTTATCCCTGTGAGAAATATATACATGTAAATATATACAAAATATATACTATTTTGTATATACAGATACAAAATGATCCTTCATTTGTATCCCCTTTATTTGTTTAGCTTTGTCAGAGATGGGTATTCCATTGCCATTTAAATATTGTAGGTATGTGAATGCAGCAAAATAATCCAATATAGTCCAGCAGGACCACCTTGATCTGTATAAGAAGGCATAGACCTCTCCCTAAAGTGCAATGGAGGAAGTGATAGATGCTGCCAAAATGCACATATATTTGGAATTCTGTTTTACTTTCTTCTAAAAACTTCTCCTAACTTGACCTCTCCTGACCTGTCAATTTTTCTAGACTGAATTATTTTTATATTCTCTAAGAGTTTAATCTTTCAGACATTCCTTTGGATGGAATTTTTGGCTAGGCTACTTGACTGATTAGATACAGCCAGCTGCAAGTCTGTGACTACACAGCAATTAAGGAAAATGTGTGCTATCCCCATCTTTTCCCATCAGAATTCCTTTTACAAGCCAAATTCCAAATGCCATCTTGAGACCAAAAGCTATGTTCTTCTAGAGTAATGCCATTTTTTTCACCTAGACAAAAATATTAAAATAAAAGAGATATTTCTTATATAGATATTAATTCTTATTGCTACTTATTCTTCTCACTCATATGACAAAAACTGGTTATGACTGATTTTTTATTCTCATTTTGTCAAAATTTGCGCATAAGTGAAAAAAAGGATCTACCATCAGGGGCAAAATTTTAAAACTAGGAATTCCATTCACTTGACTGTAGTGCCCCTATGCTACTTATCAGTATTTGATGAGAATGGGCATGCTTTACTCACAAAAGTATATTTTAAGTTTTAGTAAAAAAAAGAAGAGGCTTAGATGAAGGTTTTCTAGACTTTAATAGATTCTTCAAATCCTTGCAAAGAAAAATGAATTCAGTCAAAAATTCAGCTACATTTATTATTTTGAAACTTTAAAGGCAAATATCTAGGCAATTGACATATCTACCATTTTGACATGGATAAGGAAGAAGCAGAGATTTTTTAAGTGAGATTATTTTTACCAAAACTTTACTATATTTTGATACATTTAGACACTGACTTCTACTACTTATCACCCAATTCTGAATCAAATATCTTGTCACAGAATTAATTTTTTCTTAGTAATGAGTTATATATTGGAATTGTTCCAGAGCTATACTCCAACATTTATGCATTCTACCACTTGAGATACAAATATTCATACTAGCTATATTGAATATGATAAATAAAGACAAGTTCCACCACTCTGCATCACAGTGTCTTCTAGCAGGTTTTTAAAATGAAGACTAACATTAGTAAGTTTTGTCATGAGAGTGGAATGTAGCTTTCAGCCAGTGATTTTTTTTTTACTTTTGTCAATACACTTCTAAGAGCATGATGCCAATCTTATAAAGCGATATGATGATTTTAAAATGTAGAAATTAGAGTTGTAAATGAGAAGTAAACTAAGCAACTCAACAATTCACTTGACTTTGCATGCACAAGATAGTACTATAGAAATCCACTGTCACCATGCCAACTAAATAAATATACTTTCCCATATTACATTTAAGTAAGTGGCCAATTTGGTCACTGAGATAATTAATTCTCAAATCTACTACAGTAGAATAGCAATAACAAGTGCCACGTGGAAACAATATGTTGTGTTTGCATCTTCTCCCTACATCCTGCCATCACAAGAATTTGCAAAGACTAGACTCATTATTGCAGCCACATAGACTGGCAACAGTCAAGCTAGGTATGTTTGGCCAAACTCTTCTCCACATACTCTCTTCTCTAAGCTGCGATTTATGCAGTGTCCCCCACTTAGGATGCCCATAGCATACAAGAAGATAATATAAATGGTTAAAGTAGCCCGGGTATCAGGTAATATAGAGTAATAGAAAATCAAAAGTGCAGAGAAACTTCCTTTTCCAAAGGAAAACCTACTGTGGTGTTTCTTTCAATTGTGACAATGATACCTAGTAAGATTGACCAACTTTTTAATTGAAAAAATTATTTTTCTGGGCCGGCCAGATAGCTCAGCAGATTAAAGTGCCTGTTTAGCCAGAAGCAGGGGCTGGGGATTCAATCTCAGGTGTGCCCCACCCCACAGGGTTTGCTGAGACAGCGATTGATACTGGGCATGGTGACGTGCACCTATAATCGTAGCACTTCGGAGACTGAAAAACAGGAGGATCACTAGGAGTCCAATCCGCGTAGTGAAACCCTATAGACCTTGTACTAAATACATTAAAAAAATAAACATAAAAATTTTTCTTTTCAATGATTTATATCTTTATGAGGTACAATGTGAAGTTTTGGTATACTTATATACTGCATATTGATCACTTCAGGATGCTTAGACTCTCCAGCTTTGCAAACACTTATCACTTCTTTGTGATAAGCAAAAATCCTCTCTTCTAGCTATTTTGATTTTATATAATTTTATTTTAAAGAAAAATCAAAATTTCAAAACAATATGTTAGGAAGATAATGTTGGTTAATTCATTGCATTGTGTTATCTTTATTAATTTATTAATTTATTTTTATTTTTTTTTTTGCCAGAACCAGGGATTGAACTCAGTCCTTTGCACTTGCCAGACAAGCACTTATTCTACTGAGCCATCTTCCCAACCCCTCTACTATCTTTAAAGTAGTTACTCAGAGTATAAACTATCAGCATTTCATTATCCAAACAATATTAGCACAAATCTTTCTTTTCAATGAATGAAGAGAAATTAATAGTGTAGAAATTAATAGTATAATTATTTTACCTACATATATATGTATATATTTCTTTTTCTTTTTGTTTTTCCCTTCCTTCTTTTCACCATTTCCCAACCCAGTTTCTCTTTCCTTTTGTACTTTCTTTCCATTTTACAGTGTTCTTCTATTTTTGATTATACAGTACAATATTTTATTTATAGTTATATGTGTGTAATAGAACACAATCACTTGTCACCCAAATTCTAAAGGAAACCCAGAGATCCAGATTTTCATGTATAATTTCAAAATTCTGGCTGCTATTTTTTAAAAGTTTTGGTATATTTATATACCTATATGTATATTTATAACATAAAGGTTAACCAAGCCTATAATCTGTGACCTAGCTAACTTCTACCCTTCCTTGGTTAAGATTCAGCTGTGGTTCTGGGTCTCTTGAAAGCTTCCCTCCACCAATTTTTTTGTCCTTTGAAGTCCCACTGTATTTCTAATTTGTTGTGTGTAATATTGCACCTATCAACTCACTTGTGTGATATGATTTGTTTCTCTAACTTGACTACAATTCCCTTGAGGGCAAAGACTACATGCTATCTCTCAGAAAGTCTAGGCCAGGCTTAGAGCATAGTAGCAGGACCTTAATAACGATCACCTATAATAAAACAAAAGCAGCCCGAACTCCTTGTTGAAACTCAGTGCTCTTTTCCTAGTGTTTTTTGTCCACCAAACTTCACACGAACCTGTTATACTGTAAGTATCATGTTGGTTTTTACAGGTTAGCATTACAAAATCATACCCCTGCCCATGAGAAACAAATCATCAAATCTTGAGTCCGAACATACAAAAAAAGGGCTCTATGAAGTCAAAGTTAAACTGTTGCCCAAAACATACTGCATTTATTTCGCACTATTTTTTTCAGCAGTGTGTACCAAAAATGTAATATGAGCCACATTATGCAACTGTTAATTAATATTTAATAATTGTACATATTTATGGTCGTACAGTGCAATTATTTTTTATCTTTATACAATGTATAGCAATTGTATTGGGTAGTTAGTATTTCTATCTCTTTAAACCTATCATTTCTACCATATGTTTTTGTTGGAAATCTTTGAATGCCTCTCATAGTTTTTTATAATATATATGATAAGTTCTTATAAATTATAGTTCTACTATTATTATGCAGAACATTACAAATAAGTGTATTTTGGTAGCAGCTACCTAACCTACATCTATTTCACTGACTCATACACTTCCTATTTTCTAGGAGCCACTATTGTACTGTACACTTCTATGAAGTAAACTTTTATAGGGTCCACACATAAGTAAGCATATGTGACACTTGTCTTTCTGTGCCTAACTTATTTCACGTTACATGTTGATGTCCAGTTCCATACTTAATGCTGTAATGACAAGATTTTTTTTCTTTTTATGGCTGAATAATATTCCATGCAGCAGATATAATTTTAAGTGTTCTAGTAGTCACATTGAAAAACAAAAACAAAAACAAGGGAAATTAACCTTTATGTGTTTCATTTAACCTAATATATCTAAAATATTATTTTATATGTAATCAATGTTTTATATCTTTTTCATATCCTAATGAGATATTTTACACTTTTTAAAACCATGTCTTCTAAATTCAATATGTATGTTACTCTTACAGTGCATTAAAATTCAGACTAGACACATGCCAGGAACTCAATAGTCATTTATTGCAAGGTGCGGCAAGAGAAAGAGCTATTTCTTACCTTACTGCCAAAGTGGGGATTAATAAATGTTACATCCTCCAAAGTTAGTAGAATTCTGTTGGGTCCTTTAATCAGCTGGATTTTATTTATACGACGCCTGAAATAAACATGAAATCAGGTCACAGGGGAATGGATATTTTTGCAAAAGTATGTTTGATTTGCTAAGGTAGTAGCTAAAGAATATACAAAATAATTGGGAAGAAAACTCTACACAGATGTTTACCATAATACCCACAGCAAATGAAGGCAACAATCCTGGCCCTCATGACTTGCAAAGTTAAACAGAGGAAAAGAGAAAAATTAAAATGCTTTTGAACAAGCATCAAAAGAAAATGATGAGAGCACTGCATGGAGATAGTATCTCAGACTAATAAAATGGTGAATTCCATATCAAGGGCACATTCAAAACAATACCTACCTCTAAATAATTCTAAAGAACTCAATATATTTTTCTGATATGGCACAGTATTTCTCCTAATAAAAATAAGGCCAAGGGGCCGGGGAGATGGCTCAGTGGAATAAGTGCTTCCCTGGCAAGCGCAAGGGTCTGAGTTCAATCCCCGGTTCCGCCAAAAATAAATAAATACATGAATAAATAAATAAATAAAAAATAAAAATAAGGCCAAGATTCATCAATCTCCATTTTATCAACAGAAATACAATAAGAAAACAAAACAAAATTAAGCAAATTAGGTGAGATTCCCTAGTCTTAGGTAGAACTGTAACTTGAATCCTTGGTCCCTGACTATAGGCCCAGATTTCTGCCCATAAGACCACTTATCTTGCAACGTTGCATCTATTCGTTGCCAAAGCAACAGGTTGAAAAATGGAAAAATTCAGTCAGCCTGTTGCTTTGTCTACATAATTCCAAACAACTGGACTGACTGTGTTTTATTTTTATTTTACTGAATTGCTCTCTTGTCTGAGCATTACATAGACACAGTTAAAACAAGATTCTCTCCAAACATGCCCATTATTTCTCAGTGAATGTAATTATCTTGTAGAAATCAATTACTGACACAGAAACATTTATGATGTCTATTCACAGGGTCAGGTAGATCTGATCAAGAAACCTGAGGACCTGAAGGAAGCCTTGAATTAGTCTGTGTGGTTGCGGGGGGGGGGGGTGTTCCATTTGTTTTGTTTTTGTCTTAGAGATTCTGACATCTACATTTATCTTTGTGTTTTTTATAACCCCATAATGGGCATTCTTGGAATGTAGTAAAGTCACTACATAAGAAGGAAAAAAATACACTAACTCAAAATGCTTAGTGAAGTTGCTCTAAGTAGAAGTTTATGTCAATGTAGCTTTAAGTATTAGCAACCCAGTCAGTTTTTCTCAGTGATTTCACTGGTTTGTAAACAAACAATTAATGTGTTTCTAATTGTCTGCCAACAAATGTGTCCCTTATCAGGGTGGGAGATGCTGCCCTGCAGAGAAAATTAAAAGAACCCTGCAGTGAATTCTTGTGTAGAGCACATGAATCTTTTGGCAAGTAAAACATTACCCCCTAACATTTGTTTCATATGTGCAATGAATTGTCTTAAGCCATCTACACCTGTAAAAATAAGCATTCTACAAAATACAGTCTAGTAGAAAGTGAACTGGATTCCCAATCCAGAGATGAGGGACAGTGCAGTCTGCCAGTAATTAGCCAAGTGAAGGTGACCTTAGATAAATGAGTTAACCTTTTCATGCCTCAGTGTCTCTTTTCTAGCAGGATAATAGTCCTTGCATTACCCGCTTCATAGAGTTGTTTTGAAAATCAAATGAGATAATGTATGTGAAAATGCTCTGAAAAGAGTGAAGCACTATGAAAGTATAAGGGCTCATTATTATCATTATCATCATTAGTATTACAAAGCACGGGAGAGCTTTATACAAAGGCAATGCAATCTAGTTCAGAGGAGTAGGGAGAAAAGAGGAGTTCAAAGAATTCTTTGTTTTGGGGTGGTTGGGTTCTTTGCACGCCTTTCTTTCTGAAAAAAAAAAAACTTAAGCAATCAAAACACAGAGAAAAGGAAGGAACAGAGAGTCACTCTCCTGCAAGTAATCACCATCTATTACAGAAACTCATCAGCCGCTCGGCTCTTCTGATTGCAGCCATGGTGGGCAGAGAGAGGGAGGAAAGCAGCAAAGAGGGGGCATCTTTTGTGCTTTGTTAGCTGAAGAACCAAGAAGCAAGTGACTCTGGAAAATGATGTACCTCTCTCCCATCTCTGAGTTTTTTGTGACCATTTGAAGTACCAATTGTCTCAAACTCATTTTCCTCTCCAATCATTTTCCTCTCTAATCATGTCCCTCTCCAATCATTTTCCTCTCCAGTCTTCTTTGCCCTTTAGCCCACAAGCTCCAAACAAACCCACCACCCCATGGGTTCTTTCTACCCCCACCTTCTCTTCTCAAGATTTGCAGGCTGGGATTAGTTGAAGTCCAAAGAGCCAGTCCATTCAATAGGAAAGACTAGGGAGAGCTATCATTTGGGAGACTTACAAGTAACATAAACTACTGAGTATGACTCCATTGTCCATTTTGTCAGGGATGTTTTGGCACTGGTTTGACAGTCTATTAACCCTCAAATCTATCTAGAAAGGGGAATTGTTTCGCACAAGTGCCATTCATTTTTACTAAGTATCTAAGGATGTTATTCTTTGGAGGAAGCTAAAGATATGAAATTTATTGTCTTAGCAGAGATACATCACAGTCCCAGAAATTAGAAGCAAATCTTCTTTTAAATGAATGTGTTTATCAAGTGTATTTTAACAACTCATAGGCTGCTTACTATTCTTTGTGTCTTTGTTAATTTTCTGTTGGGGATATTAGATGATTTTAGACATTCACAATGATACCAACACATTAAATACTAAAAGTAACATCTGTTATGGTTTCAATCTATGATTTCACAGTGCCATTAAAATATCAGAGCCAAAAGCACTTTTAAACATTATCTAATACAAATCCTTCACTCTTTGTAAAAATTCTGGCCAAGAAAGGTTAAATGTCTTTTTCAAGGTACATGGCTATTGAATATACTCCAGACAGTTTTCTTGGAACTCACCAAAATAGCTACACTCTATTCCCTACTAGTCCTTGGCATAGTGCTGTCAGGACTACCCATAAAAGGAGGTAACAAAGATATGGTTTGCACGGTAAAGTGGGAGGGCTCTGATTTATTTCTTTTTTCACTTTTGCCAAGCTCTCATTGCACAGACAGGGTACAAGTCTTAAAATGCAAGATATACCCACATCAGTGTGATGTCAAACCATTTTCTGTCACTTAAACTTGGCCCTAAAAAAATTATCAGATTAGTTGTTCACCTATCAGGGAATGTAATGGAAAAAAAGATAAAGACTTAAAAAAACTGTGGTGCTGATAGTTAGTAAGGGTAGCTTTTGTACAAGAAAGAAAAATAGTAGAAATCTGGTCCATAATATCCTAGAAAAAAAGCACAGATTCAAAGTGAGCATCCTGGGCTTCCAACAATTAGCAAGACAGTCCCCTATTCCTGGGAAAAATTTGATATTTACTATTTATTGAACACCTACTAAAGTTAGGTGCTGTTCAAAGTATTTTTACTAGGGGGCAGGGAGATGGCTCAGTGGAATAAGTGCTTCCCTGGCAAGCCCAAGGCCCTGAAAAAAGTATTTTTACTTACTTTGGTTTAAACATCATTACAATCCCATGAGCTAGAACAATTATTCCTAGAGCTTGAGTTTAGTCAAAATCTGTTTAATTTTTAGAACTCATTAATATTCTACCTGGTATTCCCATTTATAGAATCAAATGGATATAAGAAACACTGATAGACAAAAACAAGCACAGATAATACCCTGAAGTACTTGTTTGCTTATTTCACCATTGTGTTTAGAGCCAACTCTACTCATAGGAAACAATACTGACAACACGGATGGGGAAGTTATTCTTGCCATCATAAAAACACTGCTGGTAGGGATGGTAAATCACTATGGAACAAAAAATATCAGTGGATCATGTAATGGGGCAATTGTACTGAAATATAACTTCCTGGAAATCAATATTAACCAGGCTATTATGGGTTTGTATTTTTTGTATACAAAAACAACAAAAAAATGTACCTTATAAAGTAAGCAATTCCGTTAATAAATAGGAGGGCCATAAGTAGAGCAAGGCAGACCATCATGGAAAAGGCAGGATCGATGCCTGCAGAGAACAAGAGGAAGAGGAAGAACAGCATTATCAGAAAAAGGCAATAAATAAAGAGCACCAGAGAGACTCTTCATGCTTTCTGGTGACTCTAAAATCAAGTCACATCTACCTAACCTAATTCCATTTTTCTACAGCACAGTCTGTCTTGTTGACTTTATGGACACAGAAAGCAATTTCACTGTTCTGAAGCAAAACCACTCACCACTCTGACAATAACAAATCACATGAATTAAGGCTGACTGGGGTGTTTCTTTGGCAGGAAAGGTCTACGAATGGAAAACTTTGAGTACTTTAATTTAAGCTGGACAGCAATAGAGTTCTTGAGAACAAATATGTTGTCTTACCTGTGAAGTGTGAGTATTATGTTGCCTTCATAAAATAAAAGACACTTTTAATTCACCTGAGGCCACATAACTCATGGGTTATAGATGAAAAAAATAGTACTTGTCCTTGAAGGGGAAGGTAAATCTGGTTTTGATAATTATTGTTTTCATCAGCATGTAAATTAGCCTCTGTATAATTTAAATATTTGAATAGATTACTAAGATTTCAGAGGAAAAGATATAATGATGTGAATAGAGAGGAACTTGGATATGTCATACTAAAACAAAATAGAAATCAAAGCCAATTTCAAATGGAAGCATTTGGTCTTGGAAGAGTGCAGTATACACTTGCATAAAAATATATGAGCCCTTCCAAAGGTCACCTCTGGCTTTCAGAGGTTTGCTGCAGTTTCACCTCTTCTACAAGCTAGAGCAATTCTACTAGTCATTTAAATTGCAAGTGTTAACTGGATGCCTACTGTGTGGCATTATTAGCTGTGGTCCATGCCCTCAAATAACAGTGTATTTGGAAAGTGGGGATATACAACAAACACAGAAGAAACAACTGAAACTTAATTTTGTACTAAACTGCAAGGTATAGACTTTTAGGACAATGGGAGTTGAGAGAACAGATAGTGTAGATATGGTATTTCTTTGGTAGGACCTTACTGGCAGGGTTTGGACAGATCAGGGGAGAGATAGGTGACCTTTCTTGCATGGGAATCAATCACAGGTCACAGATTACAAAGGACTGAGGAGAAGGCAAATTCCTTCCTCTTATTAGAATAACCTCTTTAGGAAGGGTGGGATCTTTTTAAAAAATGAGTGATGGGGAGGCTTTTAAGTTGTGGTTGATTATTTAAGAATGGAAAGTATCTCTTGTTCTTATTACTTTAAGTTAAGTAGATAAAGTGCCAAAATGTTTTTATCATCTGAATGGAAATGACAGACATTATGACTGTTTCAATATTAAAATATGCCTTTTCCTAAAGTGCTTCCCTGTTGACCCCAGCTAGTTAAATAACTATTAGTGATTTTCTAATAGTTATTTCCTTACCTCCACGGCAGATCTTCCCTTCCGCAAACCAGCACTTCGCATCTGCTCTTGGGGGCCTGCCCCCAGGGAAGTGAATAGAGGTCCCTCGAAAACGTAGCAGCTCCATTTCCATGTCCACAGTGTAGGTGCTATGGAGTTCCCATTCTTTCCCGTTGGTGTCCAGGATTACATATTCTGAAATTCCATTTCCATTTGAATCTGTCCTTATCAACTGGTTGAATCCATAGAAGTGCATGTTTCTGGAATGTTGAACCAGCCTGGCAGAGCTAGCCTGTCCATTCTCTTTCACAGAATTATTCATAGCTTGTGCGATAAAGTAAATTGAATTGTAGATGGTTCCAAACAACGGTGAAACCTATTTTTTTAAAAATTACAATTACCTTGAATCCTAGTTGCCTTAGAGCAATCTCGGTGTATGTTCCAAGACTGTATTCATTATTATGTGCTGCATGTCTGAGTAGAGTAGAGGTATGGAGACCCAGAGGAAAAAAAATTCCGAGGAGTTGCTTGGTTTCTCCCCTGAATTTTTCTGTTTTCCTCCCTGAGGCCTTCACTACTTTAAATATATCAAATATGACAATTTTATGAGCAAATCAACTCATACACAATATATTTTTGTACTTAAACTAAAAAATTGATTTAGTGTTTTAAAAGGCACTACACAAAGCATGGAAGAGCCAAGAGGAGCTCAAAGAAAACTTACCAGGTTAATTACTGGTACATTATGTATAGCAAAATCATTTTGTGCCACAAGTAGAGTAGTAGTCAAGTGCAGAAAGATTGTAAATAGTGTGTCTCCGCAGTCTATGGCTGTGTCATGTCTTAATTCAAACTGGCTGTCCTCCTAAACACGTGCTTCCCAAAGAAAGTAAACACTAGAATCTAGTTTTAAACACATTTACACATTTTCATACACACACACACACACACACACACACACACACACACACTGGCTCAAGTTTTGTAGTGTCTAGAAAGTATCAGTTTAATCAAGAAATCATAATTCCTATTGATGTACAAAGTGATAAGGATTTGGTTAGAATGTTATGTAAACTTAGTGCTGCTATAGTAGATTATATAAATATGCCTACTAAATAAGTATGGTAAATGCAAAAATATTTGCATATTATGCCTGAAGTATTGCTCATTCACTTTGTAAGTTTCTTTTTGAAATAAACCTTCTTTACTTTTTTCTAAAAGATATAGAGGAAGAGTAATATACTGAGCTGTAAAGGGCTCAAATCAACTTCTGACATTGCCGGTCCAACGGATAACCCACTACTATTATGGACTACTATACTATATTGGATTATTTTGCTGAATTCACACACCTACAATACTTAAATGGCAATGGAATACGCATCTCTGACAAAATTAAACAATAAAAGGGGAACACAAATGAAGGACCATTTTGTATCTGTATATACAAAATAGTTAGGATAGATATACAGCTACTTTCTCTTAATTCAATGAAAAGAAAGATTTCTACTAATAGTGTCTGGACAGGATATCATGTCTGCATCTTGTGCTATGAATAACTACTACGAAGACAACAATATGCAATGTATTAATTATTGAAACTGTCCTACTATTTGGTTTGGAAACTGTCTCATTGCTATTTGTTTCTCAATAAAATTAATTTTAAAATATATATAGAGGAAAAGCAAAAAACCTTTCTCTCCTTACCCTGCCCAACCTTCCACACACTGAGGTTTTTAAGAAATCTTCATTGATTCCACTTTCTGATATACTTGGATGCTCTGTTTGATTGTCTTTAGACTTTCTGCAACAATATAACTACTTTGCTTTCTAGTGTTTTGGTAGCTTGTGACAATAAGTGAATAATAGAAGCTGGAGTATAAACTCAATAGTAGTAAAACAAGTGAGTTAAAGAGTATAGGGTAGCAATCCCTTGAAAGCAGAGAAAATGTTACCATTCTGTTTGGAAGGCACAGAGCCTTCTGTGAAAGAGACTGCATCTATCTACAGCTAAAAGCAAAGAATGAAACTCTCATAACACCCACCACCTCTGAATTGATCTACCTCACTCTTTTCAGCTGGCCAGCATATACTGCTCTGATTGATCCTTTTTAGAGCTGACAGCAACTCCCTTAAGAAGACTGAAACCTGAAACTCATTCTTCAAAATACATTTGTCTCCTCCTTATATTTTACACAAAATACACACATTCACATACATACAGAGGACACAGCACTCATTGCCACAAAATATAGTTAGAGGGACTCAAAGGTAAGAGAAAGAGTATAGCTGTAGCGGCATCTTTCAATTCTAAAAGAACAGTTGTCACAGGTGCTATGGAGTTCCCATTCTTTCCCATTGGTATCCAGGATTTCCATTTGAACCTGTCCTTATCAACTGGTTGAATCCATAGAAGTGCAAGTTTCTGGAATGTTGAAACACGACTCACTCTCAAGTCCTGTTTTAAGTTAGCTTGAGTTTCTATTTTACCCCATTGTTTTGGTTGCTTTGTTTGTTTTGTTGGTAGTGGGGATTGAACTCAGGACCTTGCGCTTACCAGGCGGGCATGTAGGCCACTGAGCTATCTCCCTAGTGCCTCTTTTGTCTTGTTGCTGAGACAAAAAAAGCCCAAAATTAGGGAATGAAAAGCTTATTTAGCTCCGAGTTTGTGGGAGTTTTAGATGGTAAACAGCTAGCTCTGTGGCAGGGTGGTATGGCAGTGGGTCAGCAGTTCATGGCTATGAAAGACAGCAGAAGCAACAACAAAAAGGAGGGACTATCCTTTTTTTCCTCCCTCATATTTTACGTAGGCTATCTGCCCTCGGGTGCGTGTAGCATTCACACAATCTCAGTCCCTCCTCTTGCAGAGACACAGGATATTTACAAAATTAAGACCACGGCCCCTGCTGAGTCACTTAAACTTGTAAACTTCTCAAGTTGACACAATCAACTGTCTCAACATTCTGGGGTGTAAACAGCCACCCTAGGGCATGTCCTCTACATACTAGTATGTAAAACTGCTGAATTAGTTAAGCTTCTAATCTTGTACACTTTATACAATTTATCAACTATTACACACAATGTATTCTTTAACAATGGAACTCTCAGCCAGGGAGATATCTCAGTACAATAAGTGCTTGCCTGGCAAGCACAAGGTCCTGAGTTCAATCCCTGATACCAAATAAATAAGTAAATAAATAAATAAATAAAAGTGGAAGTCTACCCTTCCTTTAAGAGACAAGCATACTTTGTTAGTATCAATCAAAAATTATCTCTTGGGCTGAGGAGACAGCTCAACAGCATAAGTGCCTGCTTGGAAAGCAAAAGATCCAGAATCCAATTCCTGGTATCACAAAAAGGTCTGTTGTTACATTTGCTACAAATAATGAGAAGAGAAGAAGTAGATAATGGAATAAGTGAAGAAGTGACATTCTCCAACACCCTCTTCACTAGCTTCTCACTGAAACTCCAAAGAATAAAAGCACAATCAATGGTAATTACGGGCAGACAAATGAACTTGTAAACATTATAACCCAGAGCTATAAGACTTCTGATGATATAATATCTTGTTTTTCCTGCTATATGGACCCAAACTTGAATTAACGAATAAATATGAATGCATGAATGATAAGTGAAATGTATCACTGATTTTCTATTTAACTATTTTAGATAACTCTACCCTAGGTTTGTTATAGCTTTTAACCATAAGATAAAGGTTTAGGGAGCTGAGGAGATAGTTCAGTAGAATAAGAGCCTGCTTGGCAAGTGCAAGGTCCTGAGTTCAATTCCCAGTATGCAAAAAAAGGATAAAGGTCTAGGTCACGAGTCGTAATATTTGTATGTGTTCAGTTTAATGGTTTATATTTTTGTTCAGTAGATTATCATGAGTTTAGATGTACTATAGGACCTCAATTCACCATGGCCACAAATAGATCAACTAAACAAAAAAAAATCAACAAAGAAATATCAGAGTTGAATCAAACCTTCAAACAAATAGATTTAATTTATATCTATAGAATGTTTCCTCTACCTCAAAACAAAATATACATTTGTCTTTGTAGCACATAGAACATTCTCCAAAAAAGACCATATATTAGCTCTAAATGCATGCTTACCTAAATGTAAAAGAATCAAAATTATTGCCAACCTCATCTTTCATTACTGATTGTGTACATGTCTTCACTGTTACTGCTTTCTAAATATATAACAAATTCTTAGCATTAATAAAACTCTTTGCCCCTCTCCTATTTTCTCCTTCCCATACCACAGAAAAGAGAACTTAGGGAGAAAAAAACCATTTTGTTTTTTTATTAGTTATATTTGTCTTCTATTTTCTCCTTTGGTGTTAAACAAACTCATATCCCCCTGGGTTTTGGATGGTAGACACTAAAAACTTAGATGCATGTTGGGTTTTTTACCAGTATGAGAGATACAGCCCTTGCATTTGTGTACAATAACTGAGGGTCTCAAGGCATAAGTTGTTATAATGCTTACACTATAGTTGTGGATTCCTTGTCTAGACTAAAGAGAAATCCAAAGCAGAGTATGATGACATATACTTTTGCAAATAGCCTTGATAGACTCCACTACAATAGACTAGCCTTTTAAGGCTGTAGTTTAACTGATTCCATAGGAATAAACCTCCCTCAGAGGTCAATTGAGAGCCAGTGAACTCATTGCCAAAACCACAATTACACCAAGGGAGAGGGACAGCAAGAGTTCCTAATATAAAAACATGGCCCTCCTTTTTCTCTAATTTTGGTCTGCAAACTTATGTTGTTAACCATCCAGAAGACAAGCTTATGAAAAAAAGGAGGGCCCCAAGGAAAGCCAACATTTTGGCCCTAGCCTTCCAAGTCTCAATTAAGACTCAGGACATATGAGAACTTGTACTATAACATCATGTAACTTGGTAGTGTCCCAAATTTTCTGATCAAGGAGATTATGGGGCCAAAGGGGAAGGTGATCAATGATGTATAGTTGCCTAAGGAGAGTCACATGGAAAGAAAACTTTCTCTCAGGCTTTCACAGAAAGCACATTGGCCAAGCAATGGCCGTGACTCATCCACATGGCTGACACTGACAAAGGTTCTACAATCTGAGGTACAGGATCTCAGGATAAATCCTGAGGGGATTTCAGTGACTTTATCAGACCCAAAAGCTACAACTCTTGTTGCATAGGTCCTGCTTTACCTTGGTCTTAACCATCCAGCAGAAAAGTATAAAAACAAAGTATAAGAAGTAAAGTCATGCTGTTATGTTGAGCTGTAGGGGACTCAGGTCAACAATTTCTGACATTGCCAGTGAAGTGGAGACCCAATACTATTATGGACTCCTGGACTCTTTTAGAATATTTTGCTGAGTTAACACACCTAT